AAATTCTCCTCGGTATTAGTATTTCTACAAAATTTTTAAGGAATTATTCGTTAAATTGCTTTTGAAATCTGATCAGCAACAGTGATGCAAAATATCATGACACTCGACACTCGTCAACTCATCAACCGTAGAGCCATGACAAACTACAATCACCAGTAATGGTCGCTGCTCACAGGCAAAACGTATCACTCGCTGCACAACGAAAACAGTAAAGAATTCTGCAGTACGATGATGAGAAAAAGTGAAACGACAAAAGACAATGAAAACAATGCCTACGCATTCCAAGTTCGCCTCGGCCCGCGCGACTGTGTGAGTTACAAACAAAGCTGGCAAAATTAAACGGAAGCTTTTGTCCCCACTCCCATAAGTAAGCAAAGTAGCAACAGATTCAAAACGAGCACTGATGAGTGTCGTGATAGTCGGGAATGACTATATCGGTGATGGATCACCACCGAAGATGACATTCACCAGTTGCTTTTTACTTCTTTCGTCAACTTGATGGATGGTCATTGAGAATGCTTCGACAAGCACATTGATAGGAATGTACCATGCGTTACTAGCATCAGCTGTTTCACGATCGCGATTGCGATAGGTCACAACTCTGCTCAGTAATTCTTCAAAATATTCTTCAGAACTCGCATGGAATTCCGTTTTTAGTTTCTATGAAATTCTCATAGAAATTGCATTGGAAAATTGCATGGAATTCCCTTGGAAATCTTCTCAGAATTCCATTGGAATACACCTTGAATTTAGATTTGGATGTATCCTCACAACTTTCATTGAATTCTCCTCATAATTCTCCAGCTTTAATTATACCCAAACTCCCTCTTCATAATTCCTAGCCAATGTTCTTAGGCATTCATTAAGTTTTCTCCTCTTCACTGGCATCCATCTCCCGTAGAATTTCTTCTTAGAATTCGATTGGAATGCGGAATTATTCTCACATTTGCTTAATAATTGTACTGAAATTCTACTTAGAATTAAATTCTTCTTGAATTCTTCTCCGACCTACCAATGAATTCTTCTCAGAACTTCCTTGCAAACCTCCTGAGCATTTACTAGTAATAAAAAGGTTATCAGAATTACCTTGAAAGCATTTCATAGATTTTGCTTGATGTTCTCCTCAAGACTTAAATGCTATTCCAGTCAGAGCTCTCTTAGATTACTCCTTAGAATGCCCTTTAAGTTCGCCTCAAAATTCGAGAGGAATTCTACGAAATTCCAGAATCATTAATATTTTATTCCAGCCCATGAACCTTGAAAACTTTCTAAGAACCATTATTTCACCGTAATATTCGTTTTCAAATCTGGGATCTTGCAAAATATTTCATGATCCGAAATCTGTATCTTCACTCCTGAATCTTGAAAATTTCTTCAAGCTTGGATTATTTTTTTAAAGGTCCAGGAATTGAAAATATTCTTCAGCCCTTTAAAATTTTATTTTTCCAGGATCTGAGGAATATGACTCATGATTTTGAAATTTACATTAAATATCACAGTCTTGATTGAAGATTTTCATATTAATGAAATCTTAAAACAATTGCATCGGATCTCAATTAATGAAATTTCAAGCGTCAAGCGTTTTTTATCCCAGTAGCGTTAACAGACTTTGAAAAAATTCTATGATACTTAAAATATCGGAGACTTTTGGAGTTTACGCACATAAAAAAAAAATAAATTCTAGAAAGAAGGGGAAATGGCTCTAATGTTGGCCTATGGATCCAAGATTGGGCCCATCGCTACAAATCGGCTATTTATCAATTGTATCTAGATGAACGCGTTATTGGGACGGTACTTATGGATATTTTGGGTGCCATTGACAATTTATTCGATTGCTGAATTTATGTATGGGCCAAAATTAGGGACACTAAGGCTGACATTACATACATTTCCCCTACCCAAAATTATAAAATGATTCCAGATTCTTGAACTTCCGAAATTTGAAAAAAAAAATCTACAAATTTATTAAGCTAATGTATTGGGCGTAGCATACTCCCTGAATCCCTCTTTTTGGATATTATGATTATGAATAATTACATCAATTTAAAAATATACATATATTGAAAGCCCTCCCCCATACTCCAACTTCATCAGAAGTAGTGAAGCACCACTATTTAGAAAGTATTAGAAGTTCGATATAATTAAAGTCTAATGTTATTTTTAATATATTTGAGTGTAGTCCTAATTTTGTGTAAATATTAGAGTGGTATATTCAATATTATGGCGCTGATTTGGTATCCTGGCACGGATTTTGTGGATTCAAAGAAGAGATTTCTGTAACAAAGCTACAGCTCGTTTGGTGAAAGTCGTCGACACTTTTACTGAAGGGGTTTAGCTTCACCATTTTAGCTGTCCAAGCTCCAATCGACCCAACAATAAAAGTAAAGGTCCGGTATTACCGATTTTTGGTACCATAAAACGGGGTATCTTCGATAATGCGGCTAACTTTTATATTAGAACATAATGGTTAAATTTACTCTTAGAATTATCTCCGAATTGCAAACATTGGTTCCATTTTGTAGCTTAGGGTACTTTACCAATGGGTCCGCAGGTCGCCTTCTACTTGGTCGATCCACCTTGCTCGCTGTACGCCTCTTCTTCTTGTTTCTGTTGGGTTGCTTTGGAGAACCATTTTCACAGGGTTCGGCATTCGGTTTTCGTTCGGCATTCTTACGACGTGCCCAGCCCACCGTAGTCGCCCAATGTTTTCAGTGTGGACGATGGATGGTTCTCCCAGCAGCTGGTGCAATTCGTAGTTCATTCGCCTCCTCCACGTTCCGTCATTCACCGTATATGGTAGGCAACACCTTCCCTTTGGGCCTCCACGAGCATAGTCCAGGTCTCGTGGCCGGTCTAATCTGCGTCTCGTAGATAGTCAACTTCAGGCATGGAAAATCATTTGCATTCATTTCATACATTCATTTACATTCATTTGCCTCTAACTTTTTTCATCAACAGCATTACGCAAAATGATGTATAGAGCTTTTTTAGGTTTTGTTATTAACTACAAGTTTTGCTCATAACTCAAATCTGTATCTCTTATGCATCACGAACTAGAGCGGGCAGAACTTGTTACTGTTTTTCAGTAAATGTAAAATACATTCATTGAAAACAGTAGTGGCTTCTGTTCGCTCTGCTTTGTCATGCATAAGAGATGCGGATTTAACTTGTTAACAAAAGTTGTAGTTAATAACAAAACCTCAGGATACCAAAAAGCTCTATACATCATTTTGCGGAATGCTGTTGAAGAAAAAAGTTACAGGTAAATGAATGTAAATGAATGCACGAAATGAATGCAAATGATTTTCCATGCCTGGTCAACTTTGTGCGGTGGCAAATTTTATTCGACCGGAGCGTCCTCCGGAGTCCAAAGTAGGCACGATTTTCTGCCATAATGCGTCTTAATTTTTTTCTACTGGTATCATGTTTAGCGGTCACCAGTGAGCCCAAATACACGAGCTCGTCGATAACCTCGATTTCGTCACCGTCAATCTGAACTCGGGGTGGGTGTCTTCACTAGAACCTCTTCCTCTCATGTATTTTGCCTTCGATGCGTTGATGGCAAGTCTAATTCGCCTAGCTTCAGTCTTAAGTCTAATGCACGTTTTGACCATCGTCTCAAAGTTCCGTGCCATGATGTCGATGTTATCGGTGAAGCTAAGAAGCCACTCGTATCTATTCCAGCTCTTCTTATCGCACCTACTAACGCGATGTTGAATAGCAGACACAAAAGTCCATCACCTTGCCGTAACCCCCTTCGAGATTCAAAGGGACTCGAGAGTGTCCCCGATACTCGAAAAACGCCTCCAAATGGTGACAGGCGGCGGCATAAACTTTGGGAGAGTATCTTATAGGCGCCGCTCCACATAGTTGCATAAATACAACTTGTCACCCTTTTTGAAGATTAAGCATACGACACCTTCCATCCACTCCTCCGGTAATATCTTCTCCTCCCAAATCTTGGCAATTACCCAGTGCAGCGCTCTAACCTGTGCTTCGCCACCGTATTTTAATAGCTCACTTGGTAGTTGATCTACACCAGTTGCTTTGTTGTTTTTCAGCCAACCGATCTCCTACTCAACTTCTTGGAGATCATGGTATTATCTTTGATAACGTACAGAGTTTGTATTTAGTATGTTTTACATATTTTCCAAATATCTGAAAAAAATTATTTTTTTTTGTTTCTCGCCTGATTGAAAAGGCTCACACTTATTAAATGCATTGCCGATATACCTCAATTCAATTTTGGCTTTATATTGCTTAGAATGTTTCTGATTATATACTCATACAAGGTTTTATATTTCTTGAATTAAATTGTTTGAGATTCGCACATGTTTTTCTACATTCATCGAGTAACCCCAAATAAAAAAACTGATGTTCAGTCACAAGACAAAAAAAGGTGCAAATGCAATAATTTCCGTTGAACATATTAATAATTACTTGACTGTAGGATCCTCTGTACTTGTTTAACACAGGTTATATTTGAGGGGCTTATAAAGCTGTAGCTATCAAAAGAGAAAGTCGATGAAGAGAATCGATCAAAGTCACTTACACCCCTTTCCTTCTAACCCCCTCATTTGAAAAACATTTACAAAATGTTGTAAAAATATTAAAAATATACTTGAAAAAAAAACCTACCAAATTTCCTCTGTCTTACTTTATCGGTATTACCGATAATAACACCCCTATTGGCAAACTGCCCACAAATAAGCCTCGCGCTTCCATTGTGGAAATCCAGTGCTTTCTACACTTCAACATCCATCATCAAATTTATGTTTTGAACGGCGAAGACGACCGATCTGTTGACAATGAACAAAGCACACCGAATCTTCTTTCGACTATACGTGATCGCGTGGTACAACAGCTGTATGTGAAATCACATCGAAAGCATTGAGATCGTGCAATCTTACCTCTTGGAACTCCTGCAAATTACTTCAGCATTATTTAAAACTCTTCTAAACACACCAATTGAATTGTATCACTTTGGTTTTCAATTTCAGAAACCGTCGGCATCTCAGATGTCAAGATGCCTCTGAACGACCTACAGCCATTGGCGTTTACCACAACGAATAACTTCACCATGAACCACAGCAGCAACTCGACGATTCAGCCCAACCCAACCCAAGAGCAGCAGTTCTGTCTACGCTGGAACAACTACCATTCGAATCTGTCTACGGTCTTCGATCAGCTACTCCAAGCCGAGTCCTTCGTCGATGTGACCCTAATTGGCGAAGGTCGTCCGATCAAAGCTCACAAGATGGTTCTGGCTGCCAGCAGTCCCTACTTCCAAACCATATTTCAGGAGACTCCCTGTAAACATCCGGTCGTTATCATTAATGATGTCAAGTGGGAAGAGCTCAAAGCGTTGGTGGATTTTATGTATCGCGGTGAGATCAATGTAGCTCAGGAACAGATCCGACCGCTGCTGAATCTGGCACAAATGTTTCAAATCCGAGGATTGACCGATGTGTCACACGAGGACGTCGAATCGGAACCAGTTCGCGTAACTCGCGAAGCTAGCAACGTTGAGCAGTTCACGGTTTACACGGCGTCGATCGTCGAGAATATTCAGCAGAGTTTCAACAGCCATAGCAACGATATCGTCAAAAGGCGATCATCCAAGGAGCGGGACTTTGCTCGAAAGCAGACCCTTGAAACATTGGAGGTTCCCGTTGAGTGGCCCAAGGAAGAGGAGGTTCCAGCTACGGTAGAGTCAACATCGAAGAATCCTCGTAAACGGAAGTCTACGTCCATTGACGCACCCGCAGAAGGAAACTTCATCGCAATTCCACTAGAACAGCCGCCGTACATTCCACCCGCAATCAGCCAACCGACAACGATGGTTGCCCCACCTCAGCATCCACCTCCTGCGCCGCAGTTGGTATTTCAGTCCACCTTCCAACCGGAAGATACAGACTCGAAGATGAACTTCCTGGATTCGACCAACGAAGGAGACGATGTAAGTACCTATCCGTTCCCTTTCTTGTTCTGTTATTTTGTTGCACATTTCAAACGGCCACTAACCTGTTTTAAATATTGATCACTCTCGCACCGAGATTGCAACTGTATATTTTCACATCCAAGCCTACATTTTGTAACAAAGTTTGGGTTGGTCTAGAGAAAAAAGTATTTTTTATTCAGAAAAGGTGGAACTATGAATAAAATACGATTACAACATAGCAGCAGGATTATTCAGTACTCGGTCGTGCCAGCATCCATGGAACACACAGAGCGGTGATGCAGGCGCAGATACGGCTATGTTGTACCTACCTGTATGTTGTTTGTTAGAAGTGGTGGGAAAGGGGGGGGGGGGTCCTCTGCTAGCTCTTTTCCCGCGTCAGCGCTTCTTTCCAGATTCGTCCGATTCAATTAAAAAATATGAAGTAAATTTTGCCTGAAACCTAGTTTTCATCGATGCATGTTGGTTGGTAGGCTGTTGGTTCGCCGTCGTCGCCGTCGTCGTCGTTGCCATCATCGTCTAGAATGCGGGTGAAGCGGTTGCAGTGAAGGTGGGAGGAAAGGTAAAAGTGTACATGTTTCATATATTACCCGCCCCAACCGCTGCAACGGGTTGTTGAAAAATGAATGCGCAAAAAAGTAGTGCCAGGCCTTTATCCAAGTGAATGCACGTGAATAGTGAAAATCACTTACGGATATATAACTCGACCATGGTTGATCGAAGGCCGGGTAGGGGACAGGTACTTTTTATCCCAATTTGAAGTTGCCTTTCAAATCGGGATGCGCTTCTGCTGTTGGTGGTGGTGAATAGGATGCAATGGACAAATTGAGTACTGCAGCGATGCCGAAGAGCAGCAACGGACGAATAAAATGCCGAAATGTAATATTCAAAAAAGCACTCAACAGATCAATTCATGGTGAAATTTTTGTTAATTTGGGTAGTTTGAATATTCTTTCAAGTGGGAAACATCATGCTTTTGTTGATGGGATTTCCAGGAAAGGCAGTGAAGAATTTGTGGATAATTTCCAGGACGTCCAGTCTGAAAACCACTCAGAAAAATATGTACAGAAAGCGAGAAAGCACAAATCGCTCATCGTTCAAACTCACCCCTGAACCAATCTGAGTTGCATCCAGCAAAAACACGCGCACAAGAATGTAGAATTCAGCGTAACTAAACAAGGCAAACATTCCACATCGATAGTACACATACGTCTTTCGCAAATCAAAGAATCCCGCTGCATTCGAAACAAGAGCTCAGATCTCACTCTTCCGATGCACGCGCGATGCAATAGAGTATATCGCATACATACAGAGAGCTATTTCCGAGTGTGCGGTTGTGCGTTTCCTGTTCAAAACCCTTTTAATTTAGACGAAGTTTCAATTTTCTCTTCCAAAAATCAAAGCCTTTCCGGATCTCGTCCTGCCTAGCTTCGCTGTGCTGCGCGATATTCTACACGCGAGAGCTGTGGAGACTTCGTTGTTGGGTGGGGTTCAACCCTTCGTCTCCAGAGGAGGCCTTCGATCCGAGAGGCGTCCGAGTTCGAAAGTTTGCGGTTCGCAGTTTGAGAACAGTGACCAGTGCACCAGAATGGTAGTGCTTCAAAACGGAACGTGCACCGAGAATGGTATCGACATCAACCTCCACCAACCGCCGTAGAGCAGTGTCTGTGTACAGTCATCCATCCATCCATCCATCTATCGGGCCAATCTAGAGCTAGACACACGAAGATGCAACGGGTGCATCCGTGAATGGGGTTTGCACTTCTTTTTCGTCGATAGGGTTACCTGATTTTGAATTTTGCTAACAATTCTAGTGGCATTTGTTTGGTCACCCCAGAGCTGGCCCACCAAAGTGACACTGCCTTGGAGATCCACACTGTAGCCACCCAGATTCGAAACGGACTCGGTCCAGTATCCGAGTCCAAACGTGCGTTGCATCCGTGCAGTAGCGCATCTGTGAAAAGGAAAGGAGTTCCGAACGGCTTCACCATCATGAGTCGATCCACGCACTACAGTTGGCCAAAGGCGGTAGCGTTGAAAATAAATATTCTCCTTCTCGTTTGTTCGTTCGCTGGTTCGTTTGTCCGCCCATATCCTGAAGAGATTCGCTGGGCTCTTGTCGTATGTACGCCACCACGACGTAGGTATGTATTCAGACCGGCTGGCCGGGACCAGCAACGGTCAACGGTTTGCGTATCGGAAAACATTTTTTAATTGAAAGAAAATAGAATTCTTGATTAATTTTTCAAAATGATTGAATAGTTTTGTAAAACTTGGACCGAGCTGGGTTTTGCGTATTTGCCCGATCCTGGCAAAGTGAAACAATGCACCGAATGGGAAGGATGCGGGATTTTCTGCTCGTGGCATATTTACCGATTGAACGTAGAACCAGCTGCAGTGCACCCTGGTTTCGGAATGGTTCTTCTTTTGGATTTCGATGAATTTGGATGAATGTGAGTTGACTGTGGCGGCGGTGGTAGGCAATGTATCGGATAGGCTACTGCAACTGAGCCGGAATGGGATGCATTGCATATCAAATAGGGCTATGGTTCTGTTGATGCATAAGAGGGGTTTGATGGAAGGAGCTCTGTTTTGAAGAAGTGAGCTTTCTCAAATGCAGTTGGCTGGTTGAAGTACAGTACGAAGCATTTACAGCAACTCCGCTATATATGCGGTGGGTGGTACCGTCCACCCATCGCTATTTCTCGGCTGTCGTTCAACCTATAATGTTGATGTTTTGTATGTGCTTAATGTCAACAATAAACTAGATAGGGGAAATGGCTCTAATGTTGGCCTATGAATCTGCTATTGATCAATTTTATCTAGATGAACGCGTCATTGGGACGGTACTAATGCATATTTTTGGTCACTATTGAAAATTTAGTCGATTGCTGAATTTATGTATGGGCCTAAATTAGGGGTATAGAGGTCGACATTAAATCCATTTCCCCTACCCTCAGAAAATCTCAGCTCAGTTGGTTGAAGGACAGCCGAGAATTAGTGGTGGGTGGACGGTACCACCCATAACATGTATGGAGGGGCGGTTAACGAATTGTTAACACATTTTTTGGAGGTCGGATTCATACCGATAAGGGTGGGTCAACGTTACAACCTCCTTTTCTCCACTGCTGTTTAGAATGGCATTGCACACTGGGCAAAAATTTACAAAACCACGACTAAATTGAATATCTCGACGGCCAAACGGTTTCAGTCAACATGTTATACATAATCCCTAAGGAAAAACTCTGCTGAATCGATTGGAGGTGGTCTCATTGGCCGGAGACTTTTGCGTGCTGAGATAGAGGGTTGGGATCAACCCGAGTTCCCGTTAAAGTAGGAAATGCCACTATCGACATTTTTACACTTTACTTAACGTATATTACTGGAAATTGATAGTACTAAGTATATACGGTATACGGCTACATAGAAAAATCACAAAGTTCTAGGACATTTTTTATAATGTAGCCACTTTATCGGTCTTTCCGGATCCTCCTGTAGGCCAGTAGAGTTTTCCTGAAGGCGTTTATGATGTCTTTACACCATATATACTTAGAAGTATCAATTTCCAGTAATATACGTTAAGTAAAGTGTGAAATTATGTCGATAGATAGTGGCATTTCCAATTTTACCGGGAACTCGGGTTGATCCCGGCCCTCTATCACGGTACGCAAAAGTTTCCGGCCAATGAGACTAATCGATTCAGCAGAGTTTTTCCTTAGACAATATGTATAACATGTTGACTGAAAGCATTTGGCAGCCGATATATTCAATTTAGTCGTGGTTTTGTCCATTTTTGCCCACTGAGCATTGGGCTCCAAGGACCAAGTTTGAGTTAATTTAGATTTTTGGGAAGATCTTATAACCCTTCGTCTGTGCCAAAAAAAACTACCCCAAATTCAAATTCTCATATTTCAGCGAAGGTTGAATGGATTTTTTAAATTTAAAATTTTATGCAAAGTAAATCTAATGTACTTACAGTTAAATTTATCAGAATTTTTTTTGGGCGGATCTCTCGGGGGAGGGGTTATTGTAAAAACATAGGCATGAAGTGGAATAAGTTGATGTTAGAGATGTTTATATCACAAGATCCCATCCATCTAGGATGTTGCATCCGTCTGCAAATAAGTTCAGAAATACAAGGTCTTCAAAACTATAGTTAGTTTATGATGTAATTTACTCCCTAGATGGCGCTAAAATGAAAATGATCAAATTACGTTCTTAAATAAACATTTCATAACGCTATCTACAGCTCCTGCTTAAATGAATTGTTGCAGTCTTGAGCAAATTTGTTCAGATGACTAAGACCTATCCCGAAGTAAAGAGTTTAGTTCAGAATTCATTCACCAGGTGGTGATAGTGTGACGTTAACTTTGCATTGTTTGCCCTAACTTAAAATATGGACTAGATATAAGGTTTCCGTCTTCGGCAAAGTGGTTCAGATGGACAAGACCTAACCTAAGGTAAAGAGTTTGGTTCAAAATTCATTCACCAGGCAGCGCCAGTGTGAAATTAATTATGAATTGTTTGTCCAAACCTGACATGTACTACACTTTTTTTTTTATGCAGCGGGGGGAATCTGTTCCCAGACACCTGAGAAGATAACTCAGGGTGTGGGGATGGGAGAAGTAGCGCTCCCGACCCACTAAACCTTACCCTGTGCTCTAGGCCCTTGCCCCCCGGAACCGCCCGAAGGCATTACGTCATGGGAGGGGGCCGATTGCGCTATGGCACATCACTAGGTGTTGTGTCGGACGTGACACTCGCTACTGCACAGTGAGCAGCTGTGCAGGGCCTTCCTCTTGTTGATCGCTGTTAGTTGTTCGCCTGAGTTCTAGAGCAGACGTGATAGCCAGCCAACTGTCCAGGGCAGCACAGGACAGATGTGACCGCTTACCAGCTGCGTGTGCTAAGCACTCTAAGAACCCGGTGTCACTCCTGCCTCTGCACAACGAGGGTTTGTGCAGGGCTTATCGACCTCCTGGGACGAGCTGGATGGAGCT